GGGGGGGGGGGGGGCGACACTAATGGTATTCTTATAAAGTGCGTTAATTGTATGCATTGTCATGCATATGCATTCAGCCCCACCCCACATTGCTCGTTATTAATTTTTATAAAGGATTTGTTCGAAAAAACTTTGTTTTTTAGGGGGTTGTATAATTACGTTCTAGAACAATCTGTCAGGTGAGAACGGGGTGCCAGCTAAAGAGTCAAACATTGGCTTCACTGCTTTTTGAGAATGTCCTCTGGGAACAATCCGTGGTTGAAATTTGAGTAAAAACGGTCACTTTGCACCAGCTGCTTGCTGCTTTAAAGGGCAGCCGCGTCAAACTTCCCAAGGAAAGCTGATCAGGGTGGAGAAAAGTTTTACACTCCTTTTGGGAATTTGGGATGGGCCAAATAACCATGGTCACCAATGTCTAACATTATTTTTTGGGGGGTGGGTGGGGGGGGGGGGAATCAAGGGCAGAATTTTTCATAAACCATTGCCTGGAGTCAGAATATATATATATATATTTTAACCTGTGCCGTAAAAATGTCCCTGAATCTATAAGACATCCGGCAATTCCCTGTTCTAAACATGCAATGGGACCATTACCAAGACTAACATGCCTAAAGCTAAAGAAAATATATTAAAAAATGGGTCATGTACCTGTACCTGTTTGAACTGTTCCTCAAACGTCCAGTTGTGGGATCGGCTGTCCCCGTTGGGGTCGTCGGGCGAAGGGGAAGGCTGAAGGCTACCGGCTGGGGACATGGGCGTGGTCGAGCTGGGTGGATACCGTTCCGCCGGGGAGGGCGGGCTAGGGAACGCGCTGTGATTGGGTAATATCGGGTGGAAGGGGTTGACCACCTCCAGACCTTTCATTTCTCTCCCCAGCAGGTGCCCGCCCAGCGCCAAGTGGGCGTGTGCCAGGGGGTGCCCCAGAGGGAATGAGGACAAGAAGTTGGCGCTGTTGTGTAAGTGTGCCCGGAAATCATCCGCGAGGAACTTGCTCATCGTATCCAAGCTATTGTCACCATTGTTCTTGATGAGGTTCCCGCCAATCCCCAAGTTTTTATTGTTGTTGTTATTGTTGGTGTTGCCCATGATGTTGTTGCCCGGAAACGACATAATACTGTTTTTATTGTTCATCACCCCCGAGCTCTTCGGCGCCCCGTTACTGCTAGTCCCGCCGCCGATGCCGGTGTCTGGCGCCCCGTTCCCGTTATTGGCGTTACCGTTTCCGTTCGACAACGATTTGTTGGAACTTGGTCGGCTCAGGTCGAGCTCGCGCTCTGATCGCTGCTGCATGCGTTCTTGGGCGAGGTGCATCTCCTTCTCCCGGGCCCTCAGGTGGGTGTTGTGGATGGCGAGAGCCTCCTCGTGCTCCTTCAGCTCGCGCTCGATCTCTTCCCGCTCCTCTCTCTCCTGCTGCTTCAGTTTCTCGTAGAGCGCCCTCTCTGAGGGGTCCAGTTTATCGGCGTTGAGATCGGCTACGTCTCCGTTGTCGCTAAATGTGTCTGACTCGGGCTCTGAGTCCATAGGGGTACCGTTTGTCTGTACAATGTTGAAAAAGAGAAAGGAACAAAAAAAAAGTTAAAAAGCAATTAAAGGTTAGACTGGCTTGAAAAGTTGATATAATTTTTTTTTTAAAACAACAACAAATAGAGTGTTGATGCTGCACTGATATGAACGATAAAACACAGTACAGATAAATGAACACCGTAATCTTTTTTTTTAAAAGTTCATTTCCGTATGTCTAACTATGGGAGGGAAGCGTTTTCTCCACATACGCAAAACACTTTTTTTTTTCTTCTTTCAAACTTGTGATAGTGTCACATATATGCAAATATGAAACATAAATGTTTACATATATTAAGTAAAATACTTTCAAGAGCAATTAAACTAATTGTATATTTTTTAAATTTTTTTTTTTTTAAGTTTTTTAAAAAAAAATTCACATTGAAACATTTTTTTAAAAAATCTATTTTAGTTTGCTTTGCATACGCAAACATTTAAGACAATTTTTAAGAATTTAACCAAAGAACCAAATGAAAACTTTTTAAAATAAATGTAATTCAACCTTTTTGAATTAATTAAGAATCATTCCATGGCCTAGTTAGATTGTTTTATACCCACAATCCTAGCAAATAGGAAAGAGTTTGTTGGTTTGCTTTTCTGTGGGGATTTTTTGATTGTTGGTTGTTTTTTTTCATATTTTAAATCGATTGTATCATAATTAATCTGATCGAGCACCCTACCCCCACCTGACTACCCATCGGAGCCGATATCTTCTACGGGTTAACTTGGATATGTGGGGTAAACAGTTATCATCCTTTGAAATTGGCCAGACGGCCGGTGACCGTTTGTGTGCGCCATTAGCTTCGGTATTGCGAGTGTCCGTTGTTTCGTTGTGGGTGGATCAAGGCTCTTTCAAACTTTGAAAGATTAACATTTCGGTCAGGCTTAAAGCTAGAGCTATGTACACAATTTTAAGCTCTGGTTAAGCCGGGAATAGGGTGAGTCAAACGAGGCGCTAGGCTCGGGTGAACAATGGGGAAAGGCGCCTATAAATGATGATCAATACTTATTAGAAATATATATATATATATATATATATATATATATATATATATATATATATATATATTATTTTTAAACTGTATCGAAAGGGTACCAAATTGATCCACCTGCCCCAGGTGACAATACCTACGGCCCAGCTGTGCTGAAAAATATTCCGCCAATCAGAAAAGTTGGGATATTGAATGTGATTGTATGAAATGTGGGTAAGAATAATAACAGTTGTTAAGTAACACGACTTCTTGTCAACTTCAGTTGGTCAAGTCAACTTCAGTTGATCAAGTCAACTTCAGTTTGTCAAGTCAACTTCAGTTGGTCAAGTCAACTTCAGTTGGTCAAGTCAGTCAACTTCAGTTGGTCAAGTCAATTTCAGTTGGTCAAGTCAACTTCAGTTGGTCAATCAAACTTCAGTTGGTCAATCCAACTTCAGTTGGTCAAGTCAGTCAACTTCAGATGGTCAAGTCAAATTCAGTTGGTCAAGTCAACTTCGGTTGGTCAAGTCAAATTCAGTTGGTCAAGTCAAATTCAGTTGGTCAAGTTAACTTCAGTTGGTCAAGACAATTTCAGTTGGTCAAGTTAACTTCAGTTGGTCAAGACAATTTCAGTTGGTCAAGTTAACTTCAGTTGGTCAAGACAATTTCAGTTGGTCATGTCAACTTCAGTTGGTCATGTCAACTTCAGTTGGTCATGTCAACTTCAGTTGGTCTACATTATGTTAATGATTTGTTGATGCGCTTTATTACAAAGGATGGGTTGCCTAAAAGATTATCTCAATCCTATTTTTTTCTTTCTTTTTTTTAAAATTCATTTCCTAAAAAGTAAAATAATGCGCTCTTTAATTCGTTTTGCTTTAAAAAAAAAAAAAACACACACAAAAACCCCACCTTGTTAAGTGTTACCACACACGGGTAACTCAATGGCCAGGTGTCGGTGCTCGTCTTAAGTTTTTGGAGGCTCTATGTTATAAGAACTAATTGGAGCAACTCATACGAAAAGTATGAAAGGAGGACAGAGGCATTAAGTTGGGATGGGGAGGTTCATATCTCCGATACAAGTACAATATTTCCTTAACTGCTCACAATTCCCATTATACCAAAACACATGCCCCTCTTTTTTTTTATTTGAAAACAATAACTATAATCAAATGATGATTAAAATAAAAAGGCTTTTTTTTTTTTTTTTACTTCAAAAGTGATTAAGGGTTAACAAATAAAAAAAAAAAATCTGATTTTAAAGATAGACTAGACCTATATATGTATATATATATTTTTTTAAATTTTTTTTGTAATTTAAATTATTTTTTAAATTGCAGCTAGAAACCATTGTCGCTAAGAAATAAATTTAAAACTTTTGTAGAAATGAATGTTCTTATGGAATGTTAATTATAAAAGAACCATCTTTTATTTAAAACAAAAGATAGTTTTTAGCTGATTGGTCTACCATTCTGTCTAGATTACTGCAAAGTATTTTTTGAGATTAAGCCAAATAAATTGGTTCACCTGCATCTCCGCTCCGCACATTTTTAGCCGCCTTGTCACTTAATGGGTGTTCCTTCTGGTTTGTTTATTTTATCTTCTGCTTAGATATTTTCCACAGACTCCAGATATTTTCACTTTTCCACCCCCTTCTCCCAGCCACCTCAACCCCCTCCCATCGGCCACAAGCAATCAAACACCCTCCCTCCCCATTAGTTCTCAACGCCCATGGTCATGATGTTCTTCACTGATTTTTCTTCTTCCCCGGGTTTCGGGTTGGAAAGTGAGTACTAACTAGATCGTAGAAGAAATCCGACTTTTTATATTATATAAATTTGTCTCGGGTGCGTGTGAGTTTTTACCTAGCCTTTAATTACAGTATTTATTTTTTTTATTTTTTTTTTTGTATTTTGAAAATATTTATAATTGATGTCCATAATATTTGAATTGTAAGCCAATTTCCCTAAGAAATTCATGTTGAGGAGGGGGTGATGGATGGTGGATGTAGCAAAGTCTCAGGTTTAGGGTAGGGTAGGGGTCATTGGCCTGAGTTCATCAGATTTCTCTCTTTTTTTTTTCTGTCAAGTAATGTGCATTGTCAGGCTTAACGTTGCAATTTAAAGGTTAGACACCAGGGATTTTATTTTTGATGTTACAAAGACAAAGAGAGTGTTACATACGATTTTACACAGAGAATTTAATATGAGATGCCACAACGGAAATTTAAAGTTATAAATGGAATTTTATATGTGATTTTATAGAACGCATGTTTACAATGAATTTTACTCAGGGAACATGTATCCATTGATGCAACTGCGTAAATAAAGTTGGGGATTAACCTATAGATTCGTTAATCCACACCACCCCACTAAATGATTGATTAATTCATTCATGAAGGTATAATTGATTTTTTTTTAAGGATACATTTTTTCAAGTACATTTCTGTTGACCTTACAACGGACCACAGAAACTAAAACCTTGTAAATAATCAGCAGTACGTCGGTTTATCAGCAGTACGTCGGTTTATCAGCAGTACGTCGGTTTATCAGCAGTACGTCGGTTTATCAGCAGTACGTCGGTTTATCAGCAGTACGTCGGTTTATCAGCAGTACGTAGGTTTATCAGCAGTACGTCGGTTTATCAGCAGTACGTCGGTTTATCAGCAGTACGTCGGTTTATCGGCAGTACGTCAGTTTATACTTCACAACCTGCTTGTTCGCGAGCCAGCGTTAGAAACAGAGCTGTTGAAATAATGTGTGGTTTTTTTTTGTTTTTTTCAATTACCGGTACAAAATGATTGGGGCTTTCAGCTATTAGCCTGTAGTATAGAGTGAGCACAACTGGGGACAGCTGGAGAGACTTGCCTAAGACCGGGATGCCTGGAGAGCCTTTGTTTGTGGCCTCTGCCCCAGACGGGACGGGACGACAGGCGATGATGATGAGCCTCTATAGAGAATACTGTTATATACTGTTATACTGTCATTATAAATGCTGCATCGTTACACATACATTATGCGCCAAAAGTATAACAGTTCTGAAACTGCCGCATCATGAACGCTCAGGTGTGTTTGTCAACGGTGCATAGATCCAACCGCCACGTGTTCCCTTAGGTCTCAAGGAAGATGTGTTGGGCAGTCGTTGCTGTAAATGGGTCTCTCTCTACAGCGGGGGACACAATTCAAAGGTGTGAGTCCTATTTTCGCTCATATGGAATTGGCCGTGTCGTGAAGGGGGCCTAAGCTTTAAAAATGTGGCAGAAAAATTCCCAGAGAGATTTAATAAGACTGCGCCATTGTAGCAAGGTTTCACTGTTTATTCTCAAGAAATTTCGCCATTCTGGAAGTGTCCTGAAAGTGTACTGGCTCAACGGGAGTCTACAACTGGTCGACCATTAGCCTAAATGTCTCGACAAATGAGAATCGCGTATTCTGACGCATTCGCCCCTATAGCGAAATCTAAAAAGAACATCTTTGAAACCGAGAATAGCGATATCTCTACTGATTAGGAGTGTTGAAGGAGAGTGAGTTCAACAGTGAACATCTACAAAGAACTGCATCGGAATTACGCGAGGGGGAAAAAATAGTTTTGCAAGACAGTAGTCTGCAGCAACCATTGTTCAGTGATTTGTTAACCTGTAACAGACGTGCACCAGGGGTGGGAAAACTTTTTGTCCATGCAGAGGGCCACACGGAATTCTTCTTTTTTTTAATCCTTTATCTTAACTTCGCTTTTGTTTGTGGTGGGTTGGCAAAATCTTTCGACTATAAATTGACCCGCTTCCCGTCAAGCTATCAAACTGAAACTTTGCAACATATTCTATCAAATTTTCAGCCCCTACCCCCAAAAAATCAGTTTTTTACTTCTTTTAAGGGAACATGAAGGAAATTCCTGATAATTGCGCTAAAGCAAATTCTTTTTTTTTTTTAAATATCGAAATATCGATTGGTCCATTACATTTTCTTTTATTTTTTTCTGAAATAGTCGATGAAACAAATCTGCGGTGTTAAGCCGGTGGGTCATAAGAATATTAATATAGTTCAGGGGTGCGAAAAGAATGTGGAGTTGCGAGCCTTGCAGTCGGGGAGCACTAATTAGGGCCCTTATAAAGTGCGTTGCTGGGATGAATGTTTTGTCAACCAACCCCCTCAACCCCCCCCCCCATTGCTCATTATTACATTTTATAAAGGATTCATCTGAACAACTTTGTAGTTAGGGGCCGCTTAAGTATAAACGTCATGGACGTCATTAACAATGGACTGGGAAATAGCATCCTGAGTTCAGTGCCGAAAAGGAGCAGTTGCAATTTTTCAAAAATTATTAACTATACTTTTATTTTCTTATTTTTAAAACTTATTTTGAGATTGTTATAAGCATTCGCAATTCGTACAGTTTAAGTGTAAGGAGAAAAAGACTCATCCAGTTCTCAGGTGGTCTTGCGGGCCGCATTAAACGTTTCCGTGGACCGCATGTGGCCCGCAGCTTGCCCACCCCTGCAGTACACTAATGCAATGCTCTAGAAATGTTACAAATTATTATTTTTTTAAGTACAATTAGATTGGTGATTGATTTCCCTAAATCGTTCCCCATGTTCATGGAGCAGTGGCGCCAGCGAAACGGAGCAGACTTTAGGATGGTTCTTATTCATCTTTGTGTCCATCAAGCTGTTCAGATTGTTAGCATCGGTGCCATTTGCTTCTCTATTGTAACGTTGTAACGTTGGGTTTATTTTCAACATGGTATTTGTTCTGTATCAAATTGTATCAGTGGACTTGAGTAAACAGTGGGTGTCGATTGTCACTGTCTGTTTACTGTCCATTCTTGGGTATGTCCTAACAGTGACAGTGTTGATAAATGAGTGTGTTTGGTAAACGTTAGAACAGTGACCGTGTTGATAAAATGAGCGTGTTTGGTAAACGTTACAACAGTGACAGTGTTGGAAAAATGAGTGTGTTTGGTAAACGTTACAACAGTGACAGTGTTGAAAAAAATGAGTGTGTTTGATAAACGTTACAACAGTGACAGTGTTGATAAAATGAATTTGTTTTGTAAACGTTAGAACAGTGACAGCGTTGATAAAATGAGCGTGTTTGGTAAACGTTACAACAGTGACAGTGTTGATAAATGAGTGTGTTTGGTAAACGTTACAACAGTGATAGTGTTGATAAAATGAGTGTGTTTTGTAAACGTTACAACAGTGACAGTGTTGAAAAAATGAGTGTGTTTGGTAAACGTTACAACAGTGACAGTGTTGATAAAATGAGTGTGTTGCTAAACGTTACAACAGTGACAGTGTTGAAAAAATGAGTGTGTTTGGTAAACGTTACAACAGTGACAGTGTTGATAAAATGAATTTGTTTTGTAAACGTTAGAACAGTGACAGCGTTGATAAAATGAGTGTGTTTTGTAAACGTTACAACAGTGACAGTGTTGATAAAATTAGTGTGTTTGGTAAACGTTACAACAGTGACAGTGTTGATAAAATGAGTGTGTTTTGTAAACGTTACAACATTGACAGTGTTGATAAAATGAGTGTGTTGGTAAACGTTAAAACAGTGACAGTGTTGATAAAATGAGTGTGTTGGTAAACGTTATATATAGATGTGAAAGTGTTGATACAGACAGTGGCAGTTTTTAAATAAAATGAGTGTGCTCCCTCAAAATAAGTGACAATGTCAATGAGTCGGCGTTCTGATCAACACGGCCAGTTTTAATGAGACAGCGTTCATGTATGTAGGCGTGTTTGTTTTTAAACATGAGGCATGGTGTTAAACAATGTGTGGGAGGTGAGATTATGTGGGGGGATGGCACAGACTAGGAACATCCTACTGAGAAAATGAAACTATGTGGCATTAGAAATACTAGGTACAATTATACCTGTGTGTAAGTGAGCACCACCTACCCCCCTCCCAAATCCCATTTCCTCAGCTTTGGAGGTCTCAAGCAAATAAGTTATTGCACGAAAAAAAAAAAAAAAGTATAACAATTTAAACCCTAAGGAAAAATAAATGATATATATATATCTGTGTGTGTGTGTGTGCACAAATGATATCTCAAAACCCACAAGATCACCTACCCCCCTCCCAAATCCCATTTCCTCAGCTTTGGAGGTCTCAAGCAAATAAGTTATTGCACGAAAAAAAAAAAAAGTATAACAATTTAAACCCTAAGGAAAAATAAATGATATATATATATCTGTGTGTGTGTGTGTGCACAAATGATATCTCAAAACCCACAAGAGGTATGACAAATAACGTAAGATTTGTGTTTGTTTGGGGTGGGGGGGGGTGTGCCACGATGAACCTATTGCATCTGTGAGAGCGTGAACACAATCAGGTGTCAGATAGCGGTTTACCAGACATCATGACGCGAGGCAGATGATGACTGCGATCGATTATTGTCGAGATGTCGAGTATGAGGTTACAGATGAAAGGGAAGACGTTTTGTTGTATTTGATGAATTTCAGCTCACATATGTTGGTGGTCGGTTTTTGTCGTGGTGTTTTTTAAATTGTTTCCTTGGTCCGTTTTTTTTTTTTAAATTTTTTTTTATTCGGTTGCCGTTTTTTGAAGCGGTGATGAATTAGTCTGTTTGTTTATATTGACGCGTGGCAACAATCTTACAGAAAAAGAGTTGATACCGAGATGGGTACGACCCGCAAATGGAATATCAGCAGTGAGATTTTGTATCACATATAGTGCTAAGTAATCATTGGCAACACTGTTAGAATTTGAGGATGTCGAATTAAACGGATATCTTTGATTTAGCAGGAGGCCCCCCCAAATTCGAAGCCAATGACAGAGACTTTTTGTTTGAAAACCAAGTTTTTGTTTTGATTGTATATTTTTGTGGGATGTAAACGTGGGCCTTAAAAAATGTTGTTGTTGTTTTTGTATCGTTCTCATTACAGTATCATTAACGGTGTGCTTGAGATGATACAAGATCGTCATTTTTAGTTTGAAATTAAATGTGCGGAGTAAATTATGACCATTTAACAGAAATATGATCCTGTATAATTACTGTAATGAAATAAAAAAATTGTTAAAAGCAATAAATTTAAAAATGCTGCAGGTGCTATTGTAAGCTAAAAAGGGAAATGTAGAATGCAAGTGCATTTATATATATATATATATATATATATATATATATATATATATATATATATATATATATATATATATATATATATATATATATATATATATGTAAGAAAAACGTATATTTTTATTTTGTTTTTTTTTTATTTTTTTTTTTTTTTTTTTTTTTTTATTTTTTTTTTTTTTTGTGTGTGTTTTTTTTGTGTGTGTGTGTTTTTTTTTTAATTTTTTTTTTTTTTTTTTTGTTTTTTTGTTTTTTTTTTTTTTTTGGTGGTTTTTTTTGGGGGTGTGGTTGTGGGGGGGGGGGGGCTCTTGTTTAAAGAGAAAAAAATAGATAGCCCACTTATGTAAACAATAAATATAACTTTAAAAAAAAAATAATAAGTACGTTTCCCAAACCTATTTTTCTTAAGTTTTAATCATATTTGCTTTTATAGGTCTTAATATTTTTTTTAAAATATATTTTAATGATTAGTAAACTATAAGCCTATTGTATAGTATTGATTTTGTCTAAAAGACACCTGCCTTAAAAGTTAAAAAGGTGGCGCCCGATCAACTTTTCATCATTTTTTTTAAAGTGATTGATTCAAATATTTAAGTATTTATTTATTTATCTTTAATGTATTCATTAAAATATTAAAATGAATAAGGCAATGCTTAAAAGAATTATTTGTCACATTGGACGACCACCAAATATGTAAATTAAGACAAACTAGCTTTTAAATGTTTGATTATGTCATTTCTTCATGGTTTTATTTTTCTCCACAAATAGAAAGAAGAATAGAATGAAATGTTTCATTGCTACAATCGAAAAGTATCTTTCTTTTTTTTTTTTTTTTTTTTTTTTTTTTTAAAAAATAAATACTTAAAAAAAGGTCTGATGTTTATAGGCTACTCTTGTTTAACTATATAGTAACGTATGTAGATTAAAGATTAGAATCATAGTATGAGGTAGTTGTGAATAATAACGGCAAACAAGACGGCTATTAAAGTTAACTAGCTCTAACTCTAAGTTAATAATGTTTAAAAGCGGCGTGAAGAAAAAGGCCTACACTGCACACGTAAATTTTAAATGTTTCACATTTCTGAACTCCTTGGAAAATATGACGACCACTTTCATATTCGTAAACAATAAGTCAAGAAAGACTTCATAAGGAAAAAAAAAACACTAACTAACACACACACACAAAATATTAGTATTAGTATTCTTAGCCTATATCATATTATTTTTAGATCAACTTACAACTAATCTGGATTATCAGATTATCCTTTACAGAAAAAGAAACTTGTAACAAGCATTCAAATAAATTCTATCCCTTCATGTTAATTCCTCCAAGTAAGATTCACCACAAGCGCTATTTAACTAAGTTGTCCGTAAAATGGACAACGTTCTCTTTTTTTTTTCTACTTACGAGATTCATCTCTGATCCGCTAACGGCCTCATCCATTGCAATTCTAATCCAACCAACTACTGTGCGCCTTGCTTCACAATAGAGGCGGTGCTTATGGCGGACCGAGACTCTGGCCGATCTCGTTGCACTCTTTATCAAATAATGTTATCCCGCCGCAAGCCCACGATTCGAGGAAATTAATTTATGCGGGGCTGTGACGTATCGTGACTTCTTTCTCTCCGCGCAGACGTGACCTATTTACGTTTTTTTTTTTGCTTGGTTCTCGCGCGTGAAAACGATTAAAACATATAATTCTCCGATAAATTATAGATCCAAAACGGCAATTAAAATTATACTTTTAAACATTTTAAAAGTTTATTCTACTGTAGTAAATGCTAAGACTTAGATGGAAAAATGTTAGGTTAAATACAAACTGAGCGTCAAGTTTTACTAATTCAGTGATAGCAAATACTTTTCACTTCTAGTTCTAGTAAGTTTAAGTTAGGTCAGCTAAAAAACAAACTGGAGTAGTAATGTAGTAGTAATGTTATGGGCCTGCCTTAGTTGGTACAGGCAAAACAGGCAACTGACGAGAGTACCAAAGTCTGGAGTCGTCATTCTGATCACAAACATATAAATATCTGTTCGCTGAAAATAAAATTTTAACTAATTGAAGAGTAGCATTCTGTTGATCGACTCTTCGGTGAAATTACATTTTACAACCAACGTCGCTGAGGGGAATAAAACAGCAAATTTTATTATTTTTTTAAAGGTTATCCCCAATCAATTTGTAATTTTTTTTCACTGTTTGATAACATGACATGCGTTTATGGATAATTTAGGGTAGGCCTACTGCTGAATTCTTTTACCTGACAATACTGAAATCTCTTTTGATAGTTTTAATGTGAAGACCAAGGAAAAAAAAAAAAGAATCTTTCCATAAAGAAAAGAATATTTCATAACCAGGACATAACACTGTACGGAGTGCTCCTTTGTGTTTTTAATGGCCCAAAGTTGCAGAGGCGTAGTGATGGGGGGGGGGCAAGGCAGGGGGGCAAGCTAGTTAGGGGCGCCAAAATGTGCGTTGATATTATATTATTGGTAAAAATAACGGGTTTGAGAGTTGAAAAAAAGGAAAGGGGGTGCTTTAAAATGGATCTTGTCCCCGGGCGCGAATCTTGTCCCCGGGGGCCAAACACCCTCGCTACGCCTCTGCAAAGTTGTGATGTGGAAAAAATAAATATAACCTTTGAATAAAGAGGACACAAAACTGAAAAGTGGAAGCGGGCTTCCAAAAGTCACGTGACGGCTCAAATAGATGTTTTTCCATATATATTATATAGCAATTTATCTTCACATTTTACTGACTATTTGAGTCAGCTTGAAACTAAAGGAGGATTTTTTTCCTAAATTAAAATTGATTAACAGGATATATTCAAGAGCATATTTGACTCGGGTCACGTCTTTGGATCTGATGTCTATTGAACATAATGTTAACAGTCGAATAGATTATGGCTAGGGAATCAGTGCCTTTTTAAAATTCTGCAACAGCCAGAAAAGTTTACTTGTAGAATAATATAGGCCTACTAGTTAGTTTGCCAATTGAATTCTTTAAAATTAAAATATTGTATAGGGGCCTAGTTATTGCCCCTAAGTGCGGAAAGTCGGCATCGTTTCATGTCAGAGTTGCGCCTCTCCAGCAAATAGGCCGTTTTCATTTCGAACATATTAGTTTTCATTTTGCTATATAAAATCTAAATAATTATTTTGTTGTCTTCCGTATTCTCCAGCAGTACAATTTTAAATTATTATTTGCTCATATCAACTTGAAAATTTTTAGGAGGAAGAGGCGCCTAAATGTGGACCTGCTTGGGGCGCCAAAGTTACTAAGGCCGGCCCTGGTAATTTTGAACCCGTACTGATTCTACTTCTTTTAGACCTGGTCTAAATGTAAACACATATTAGTCATATTATTTGAAGCATTTAAATTATGTCATTTTCGCGACTTATTTAAACATTATATCCTGTTCTAGACATTTAGCTACATTGACTTATTGAGATCTTCCAAAACATACGTTTATTGTTTAATTTGAAATTATATTTTGTTTGTTGTATTTAACTGTATTTGCAATGCATTGTCTTTAGGCGTAGGCATCTAGGCGAAAATGTCCGTTTCATTGAATGGTCTTTTATTTTCAAGCCGCCTAAACATTTCTTGTTCCACTATTTGTTTACATTACATTACATGACTTGAACGCAGTCCCCCGTTAATTTTCAAATAAAATAAAACTGATTAATGGATATTATTATTATTATATAGGCGTAATATAAACGAAAATTGAAAAAGAAATTGTAACACAATCATAAAAATATTAAATTCCCATTTTATTCGAAATATAAATATTTGAATGCGAAACCTAGAAATCATAACTTCCGTAATAATAAAATCCAAGATGGCGACCTCCTTTAAGAAAACGAGTGTTGTAATCCCTAAGATTTTAAAAGAAAAAATCACACCCGATGGAGTATATTGGAAAAATCTTGAGGTATCCTGTAAACCATTAAATATGAAAGTTTAGATTTCATCTTTACTAATCACCAACTAATGCATAATTTAGATCAAAATTGTTTTTTTTAAATATTTTTTACAAATTAGCAAACTGACCAAACAGTTTAAGATTAAGTGGCTTTCAGTCAAGGCTCAAGGCAAGACAATTCAATAACAAAAAAGTGCTTTAAATCACTAACACTTTTTAAATTATTAAGTATATTAATAATCAGTAGGCTTATTTGAAACAATAAGTGTTTGTACTGATTGTTGAATCGAATTTAACGCCCATAATTATAAGTCTTAAAAAGACTAGATACTTCGACGAAGCAATGGACACTCCCAGAAAATTTGTATCGAAAATGGGTGTTGGTGCAATAGAATCCGAGTTTTTAATTTTCTTATATGCCTGTAATTTTAATATTACAGGAGTCCTTTTGGTCCATAATTAAGGCCTGACTCCCTACATTCCCGTGGAGTTTTTTGTTCTTTATATCAACTTTAAGTGAGGAAAATCGTATGTCAATATAAGGCATCTTTCTCTCAAAAATTTTTAAAGAAATTTAAAGATCATGTCTGTCATATTAAATTCTGATAAACACAATATATTGATGTATATGTATGCAAATTCTCATGGATGTAGGTCGTGTCCAACGTTCGCGACGCATGTCCAAGTAACCTGCATTAACATAAGGTTGCTCAGCCTAATTTCGACATGGCGTGGGCCACGCCCCCTTTTTAATGGCGGAATTTGCGGATATTTAGGAAATATTTAATTATTACCACTATAGTCACTATATACATAAAAATATTTGATAACTTGTGTTTCAGGATGCATTTTGGAGACATTTAACCTGGAATGTTTTAATTTGAGTTTTAAAAACCCTGTAGAGGCCATATCATAAATGAGACGGCTAGGCAGATATATCAGCCCCGAGTTAATTGGCAAAAAAAGACAGAAGGCCGATCTATGGGTTATATTATTAAAGTCTCAAGATTGGCTGGCTAGTCTTTGTACCAGCTAATATGATTGCTTCTCTCATTTCTTGCTCATCTTGCCATTTTAATGGCAGCTTCCATTGATAGCTTAAGGTGTTTTGTCATTTTATATCAGTTTTAAAAAATCCTTAGTGCCTCAGAAAAATGCTTTAAAAAAATTTTCACAATAAGTCGCAATCATTTTTCTCAGGACATATTTAGGCTTCAACAATCATAAAACTTTTTAAAAAATCTGCAAGTAAGACATGCTTATTATAAGTGTAAAAAACCCACTTTTATGCATTAATTATGCAAATCAGTATATGTAATTTGCATAAATGTTGAGATTTCGGTTTGATTCTTAAAGATTGTATTAATTCATTCAATTTTCTATAAGAATATATATAGTTTTATGGTAAATTTAAGCAATCAGTGCAACTCATCTTCCGATGTTTTTTGCACTACTTTTTTTCCCCACTGCCGTCCTCTTTGTTGCCATGATGCCTGTGTAAAAAAAAAAGGAGTGCAAAAACGTGTCTGCTAAAATGGGGAGGGGAAAGAGAGAGAATGTGTTGTTTTAACTACTTACAGAAAGAAACGAAAATTAGGAAGAACACATTTAATTTAATGAAATAATTATTTTAGAAAAACACAATCCTTAAATCTACAACTCTCCCCCCTAATTAGAGCTTGAGTTTATTCCTAAATTTAGTCGTGTCCCCCACTAACTTCAAACCTAAAATCTATGACCCCGCTTAACAAGAACCTTAAATCTATGTGTTAGTGTGCTACAGTTGTACACTGTACTGTTCTACGAAAATCGTAAATTTGACTAAAAAGATTACAATTGGTTTTTTATATTCAAAATAATGATAACCCAACTAACAGTTTCATCCAATATTCTTTTACAGACTTGATTGAAGGTTTCACCCAAAATAAAAATCAAATTATTTTTTCATAAATTAAATCATAATCTTGTTTTTGAAGTATTATAATTAAGCACCCAATAAAATTAAAATGCCATTACCCAAAACACTCCATCGGCTAAGCAACTAAAGAAGAAAACCTACCTCTCCAAAAATAAAACAAAGGGCAAGGGAAGAGAATCCTACAAGGATTGCATAATTTTACCAGTTTTATATTTGTAAATCAATTAGCGGTAAATTTGGAGAAATGTCGCCACATGGTCGCCATCTTGGTTGACACGGACACGACCAGTTAATTCTGTCACTAAACCTAAACTAAATATATCCCTAAACCTAACCTGAACCCTAAATGTATCCATAAACCTAACCTGAACCCTAAATGCCTAGCCGTCTCAAGATGTTAAAGGTTAAATCAAATGAGACCAAAACTGATAGAACCATATTTTAAAATATTTAAGCCTATTTGCTCATTTGGCTTGCACAGCCTTGCTTATGAAATTAACAATTACAAATATTAGGCCAACCAGTTAGGAGGCGCTCATGAAAATCAAAGCACAATTGAATCATTCGGCTAGCAAAACGGCATAGATTTGTGACAGAGGGTGCCTAAATTCATGACTAATTTTGATGATGGTAGAGGAAAGAGGATTTTAAAAAAAGGGTACTTAGGGAGTTAAAAAGGCCTTTCAATGTGTTAGTCGAAATGTGATCTATGACTAAGGGATTTTTATGTAGATGC